GGGTCCTGGCATCAAGCCCCACATCGAGCCCCTAATGGGGCTCTCTGCTCAGCAGGGAGCCTGCTTCCTCCTCTCTCTGCCTGGCTCTCTGCCTATTTGTGATCTGTCAAATAAATAAATAAAATCTTTAAAAAAATAAAAATAAAAATAAATAAATAAAAATAAAAGTGAAAAAGTTACCTGACTGTGCGTATTTGCGGGCAGGGGGTATATGGGAAATCTCTGTACCTTCCACTCAATTTGCATGTGAAACTAAAATGGCTCTAAAAAATAAAGTCCATTAAAAAAAAAAGATGCCTAAAGTTATCAAAAATGTTTACAACTACGAAAGGGCAGAAAGGTGTTAAAACTACCCTCCCATTACTTTAAAAAAAGCAAATGTTAAAAGGGGAAAAAAGATCCATTCGTTTATTCAATAAATATTTACTGAATTCCCACTATGAGTCAGGCATTGTTCTCAGTACAGTTGGTAGATAACTCTTTCACGGCTGTCTCTACAAAGTGCTTCACGGCTGTCTCTACAAAGTGCACACCACCATCAGTATCACCATAGTCAACATACCGTGAAATGTACATTGCATGCCTGGCATTGCCTTAGAAACTCAGGTTAAAAACACCTCTCTGCTTGCTTTCTTGCTTTTGATATTTTGGGTGACTCCGTTTCTTATTAGCACCAAAGTAAAGCAATGAAGATAGCAGAGAGGACACTGGGAGACCACAAAACTGGGATCTGTCATTTAGTCATTTGTTAGCAGAAAAGATTAGAATAATTATGAGGAAAGCTAAAATTTCCAGTGGGTTTATTTATACTTTGCATTAATGAGCAAGTGAATAAAAAGCTGAAGTGATACTTCAGTAACTTGTCACTTCCCTCTACTAAGTAAGTAACAAAAAAACATTCAAATGTGAGAAATTTTTGCTTGGCCTTTTCTCCAACGATCAGTCACAACTTAAACAAGCCAGTGCAATCAATTTACACTATTAACATTACTTTTTTTTAAAAAAAGATTTTATTTATTTGTCAGAGAGAGAGAGCACAAGAAGGGGGAACGGCAGAGGGAGAAGCAAACTCCTCGTTGAACAAGGAGCCCGATGTGATACTCGATCCCAGGACCCTGAGACCAGGACCTAGGCCGAAGGCAAATGCTTAACCAACTGAGCCACCAGGTGTCCCTAACATTACCTTTAGTAACAAAGGCTTGAGTAAATGCAGTTTGGTTAATCTCAGAAACATAAATCTCTCTCCTGACTCTGATTTTGCAGACTAGCGTTAAAAACGTACTTTATATTCTTCCACCAAAATAAGCAGATATCCTTCAATGTATATGACATGAGTTGACCAGTATCTTGCATACAGTAATTGTTCAATTAAAAAATTAAGAATTGATTAAAAGGGAATAATATGCAGTGGGGTGAGGGACCCTGGGGTGGTTCAGCAAGTAGAGCATGCAACTTGATCTCAGGTTGTGAATTTAAGCCCCATGTGTGATGTGGAGTTAACTTAAAAAATTAAAAAAAAATAAAAATAAAAAATAAAAAACCACAAAAATAAAAATTTAAGAGTTGTACAGAAACTACTTAATTATATCCTAATCACTTTAAAACAGCCATTTGTTATGAACTTCTGATACAAAAATGGAAAGCCTCCATTTAAATACAAGCTAATCCAATAAAGGTATTACAAATTACGGGTTTGAGTTCATTTTTATAGTGGTATGATAACTTCCTGACATTTCATGATTTCACAAAGTTTCCTGGAATATGAACGTGTAACCCTACAGAGGTGTTTAAAAAAAAGAGAGAGAGAGAGATAAAGGATTTTTTTTGTTTGTTTGTTTTAAAGATTTCTTTTACTTATTACAGAGAGATAGAGAAGGAACACAAGTACGGGAGAGCTGGAGAGGGAGAAGCAAGCCCCCCGACGACTGGGGAGCCCAACATGGGGTTCGATCCCAGGATGCCGGGATCATGACCCGAGCCTAAGGCAGACACTCAACAACTGGGCCACCCAGGTGCCCCAGAAAGAAAGGTTGTACTTCACCTAAAGGAGGACGTGCATTGAAAGCAGGCCTTGCAAGTGTAAAGTGCCCATTAGAAACCCGTGGGTCTTAAGAGCCTGTGCTGATCTTGACTAAAGCCCTAAAAAAATGTGTAAAACCTGGTGGTACTTGTGAAGGTCTATGGAGCCACCTGTTACAAATAATTCATGCCCATCCAAACCATAGCGCTGCCTCCCCCCACCTAGAAACATAATTCTACCAACTTAGGCTTTGCACCCTATCGTTATCTCATTACCCACGTGCATGAGTCCAAGCCACCATTCAGGGAAAACCCTCAATGACTGCTCTCCGCTGGGCTGTCTGGGGCGCTGCCCAACATGACACTTCACCCAGTCTCTTACCACTGAAGCACTGGAAGCTTCTTTTTCAGAATCCTTCATTATGCCAATTTTTAAAAAATCTCAAATACTGATAAAATAAAGCGGCAGAAAAGAGACATTTTGTTGCCCTTAAATCTCTTAGCATTTCACCCTATAACTCGAATACTGCACTTCTTTTACTAGTGCAAGTAATGTGTTTATTCCTTTCCCCTTATTAAACTATAAACCACTCAAGCCCAAAAGCTCATACTCTAGTGAAATGCTTTTTCACACACACCCTCCTTAGAAATCTTTTCCACTCACTTTTATTGTAGAACATTCCAAGCGTACACAGTAGAAAGCACAGCATCATGAGCCCTTCTATGCCGATCACCCAGCTTCAACAATCACCAACTCCTGACCACTCCCGTTTTGCCAACATCCCTACCCCAATTTATTTTGAACCAAATCAGGACTTCATATCATATATCACAGATATTTCGGTTCCTATTTATTTTCAACAACACTGTCCTTGCTTTCCCTCCCACTCCTGTGGCCCCCTAATAGAAGTATACAGAACAATGCAGGTGATTAGAGCTGCTCTACTACTTTCTTCTCACAGCTACCTTCTCTTTCCGGTCACCTTTATTCCACTTACTAACATCCCTGGGATGTCCACATTGTACTCAGCCCCTTTAACCCTGCCTATGGCACTTAAAAAATACTGTATTTTTTCCTCCACGATCCTTTCTCTTGTTTGAACAAGCAAAAAGAGAGCGTGCCAGGATTTCTCTTATCTTGATAAAATTTACTTCTGATTTGTTCCCCCCACCCCAAATAAGCTAAAAAGAGCCAAAGGGAATGGAGAAGGAATGGAAGAGGGAAGAAACACTGCACTTAAATGATAGATTTTGCCTAAGATGTACAAATATTTAAAACCATCAGTTATTTTTTTAAATTAATATTTGTAAACATCAGCTGAAATCTTGAGTCCTTTTAGACAAGAGAATGTTTATAGAATAAATCACCAATTTAAGGGAGCTTTTGCCTTCAGGATTTTGGTGTCAATGGTAGTAGCTGTTTCTGAGCCTAAGAAACGGTTATGTAAAAACAATTAAAGCCAAAAAGAAAAAAAGAAAAAAATTAAGGGAGGATGCGCTGTTTCTATAGCTGCTCTAACCTTGTTTTATTTTGACGTGAGATTTCTTGGCCTCAGCTCAGACAGCAACCACCACCCCACACTTTCTCCTCCACACCCTTTACAAATGGAATTCCGAAAGGAGGCACTTTTTGAGTTCATCATGGGAAATGGCTCATCTTGAGAACATTTCAGAGCAATGATTGAGAGATTTCATCCACTCCTCCCCCCGGACACCGCAATGCCCATCCCTCGCCCAGTGATTTCCCCGGGAATCCAGGGAAAGGCAGAGAAACAAGCTCCATGCCACCAGCCACAGCCTCCCCTCCCCGGGGAGGCCTGTGCACTGCCTCGGCATCCCCTGGTCGCCCGGCTCCGGGGAGAGAGCTTCCAGCAAGAGGTTCCAGACACGGCGCGCCTTGTTTACCCATCCGCAGTCCCAGGTTAAGGATCTCAGAGGGCTCCCCACGCCGCCAACCTTCCCCATTTTAAACTGTTCCCTCTGAGCACTTAAAGAATGATTTCTCCCGCGAATGCCTCCCCCTGAACATGGTCCCACAAGCTCTCCCCCTAATTCGGATTACTCTCCCCTCCAGGCCAAACGCCGCAGTCCCCGCCGCAAATCCAGGATCTGAGCTGAGCTGCTCTTCTAGAACTACAAGTGCGCCCCGCGCCGCCACAGGTCAAAAGTCCTCGCTTCTAGAGGGAAGACACCACTTCTCGCCCCTGCACCCCAAAACCCAAGACCTGAGACCCGGCCGGGCGAAGGACGCCCCGCCCCCGAGAGGAGCACCTCCGCCGGGGGAACAGCCCTAGGCACTCGCTGCTGGGGCGCCTGAACAAATAACGCAGCCGGGAAAATCCGAGGGCCTCCACGCCCCCCTCGGAGCTGGTCAGCCGCGCAGCGGTTACTCGCCCCGAGGGATTAAGGTTGCTCTTTCCACACACCACACTGGCCTCCGGGCGCCGGGGAGAGGGAGGCCGGCCCGCGCCCTCTGCCCCGGCCGCCCGGGGAACCCAGATCCGCGCCCCCTCCTCGGGCCGCGGGGGGGACTCAGATCCGCACCTCCTGCCGAGCCCGCCGGAGTGGGGGGGGACCCGGGCGCCTACCCAAGCACCGGGGTTGGGGGGACACAGGTCCGTGCCCCCTTGCCCGGGCCGCCGGGGACTCAGATCCGCGCCCCCAGCTCAGGCCGCCGAGGAGCCCCAGATCTGCGCCCCCTCCTCTGGCCGCCGGGGGGACCCGGATCCGTGCCCCCTCCTCTGGCGGCCAAGTACTCACACCAGCTCCCCTCGCCTCGGAAGGGCGAATCTGGCTTGCACCTCCTACTTGGGCCGAGGCCGACGAGGGGCACCCAGCGCCCCCCCCCGTCTCCTCCGCAGGCCGCGGGGACCCCGACCAGCGCGCCATCGCCTCCACCGAGGCAGTCCCGCCCGCGCGCCCCCTGCCCAGGCGCGCCAGGCACCTTCCCCCTAGCCCGGCGGGCCCGGCCCCTCACTTACCCAGAGCTCGGTGCCCCAGCTCATGGTGCAGGGGGCGGGAAGGGGCGCGCCGCGCGGCAGGCGCGGCTCTCCGGTCCCCCTCCCCGGCGGTCCCCTCGCCCCTTGAGATCCCCGCGATCGAGGAAAGCCCGGCACGCGCGCGGCCGCTGCCTCCTCTGGCTCGCCGCTCCTCGCCTTGGGTCTCCTCAGCGGCTCCTCCTCCCCGTCGCTCTTCAGCAAAATGGCCCGAGGAAGCAGCCGCCGCGGCCGCCGCAGCGCCCGCCAGCCCGCCCCACACCCGGAGAGCGAGGGGAGGGGGAAGAGGGAGGGGCGGCGGGAGAGGGCGGGGCCGCGCCGGGGGCGGGGCCGGCCTGACAGCTCGCGCACGCGCGCGCCCCGCCCCCTCCCCCGGCCCACCCTCCTCCTGGGCGCCCTCCAGCCAGCCCGCACCGCCCGGGGGTCCAGAAAGACGCGGAGAGGGAGGCGGGAGGGCGTCCGGGACCGGGAACCGGGAGAATTGCCCCCGCCAACTTTATCATTAGCGACCACACTCTCTGCTCTTAGAACAACCCCTCGCCTTTGAACGAAGCCGGCCCCTGTTATTACCGGTGCTCTACCGAGGCCTGAGGTTGCTCCCCTGCGCCAAGCACCAATTTGGACTTAAGGACAATACTTTTCCTTGGCACCCATTCGAGCCGATCAGAGTTCGCTCGGGATGCTCTTTTCCCAGCGCCCAGCAGCCGCGGAGGCCCAAGGTGACCTGCAAACTTGTGCTTTGGGAGTGGGGCCTGGTTTGGTGATGCCGTGGAGGATACAGATAGGGAGGGACGTCGAGGCCAAGAGCGACCGAGCCGCTCTGAGTGGCTGGGGAAGGAATGCAGGGCTTACAAGCAGTGATTTTCGATCTCTGAAACCAGTGGTTCCCAACTTGTTCAGCCAAGAAACGCTCAGACGTGAAATCACGTTGCCGCTTAGTGGGAAAAACGCTGGGTCCACAGTTAACGCGTTGGGTTCCAATCCAACCTCCGGCATGTACTAGCTGGGTGGCCTCAGACAATGACTCCACCTCTCTCTAGAAGCTCAGAGCGCCCCCCCACCCCCGCCTGCCACATGGAGGTGATAACGGTCCATCTTACCCTGTGCTGGTGAGGATCAGGAGATGAACACCTGTTACCCGGAATTTGGTGGGGAAACAGCAGACTTTTTTTTTTCTTCAAGATTTTATTTTTAAGTAATCTCCACACCCATAGTGGGGCCTGAACTTATAGCCGAGATCAAAAGTTGCAAGCTCCCACAACTGAGCCAGCCAAGCTCCTCCTGACTTGATTTTTAGGTAGATACTCCCCTTTTCTTTCTCTGTGTTTCAAAGGTCTACACGAATATTCCCAAGAAGCTATGTTGAATTTCTGGAGTTCCAACTTTCTTCTGAATCACTGGGTCCTCTCTCCTGCACTTTTCTCTCTTATTTAATACTACAGGATTTTCTGAGTAACTTTGAACTAAAATGGGCCCCACTTTAGAAATATTGCACAATGATATATCTCTCCAATACCCACCCACCACCCAACCACCAGCTTCAACAAGTTTACATTCTCCTCCATGAAAGGGTGGAGCTGAAAACCCTTGCAGATAAACCTACAAGTCTACTTCCTTTGTTGGACACAGTTAACAAAAAATTTAAACTGTCAAAACGGTTTTGGTCTTCTTTGAGCTACAAGCGCCCCCTACTCATTTGTTTTTAGTGTGTGTGTTTAAATATTTTGCTCTCACTGTTAACCAGCTGAGAATTCTTTACTCTGGAGCCTGCTAGACTATTAACAATCAGGATGGCCCCCCCCACTTACTCCCAAGGCCGATTAATAGCCAGAGTGAGTTGGAGGGCTTAGAATTTCAAACAATGCCTCACAATTTAGTTTGCTATTTGGAAATGGTAAGTGAAATGCAGGTTAGCTTACAAGACCTTGCTCAGTAATCAACTCAATTTTCCTTCCTGCCAATGCTTAAATATTTTCCTAGTCAAATACAATGATCTAATCTTGACTGAGTTCTTGGAGACTTCTCAAAAACAGAGTGACCAGTTGTGAAAATATGCTAATCAGAAGGAAAAACAACCCTCTGCTCTAAAGAAGGTAAAGAAGAGGAAGGGACAGCCGAAGAAAAAAAGACCACATGACAGTGAAACCTTTTAAGGTGAGTAAGCAGGAAATAGTTATAGGAACACATTAGAAGTCACAGTAGCAGACGTATCTGAAACCAGGTTAACTAGACCACACTGCAAATATCTTTAACCTCATTAGGTTTGGGCAGTAGCCTGGAAAAGGTTTGAAAACATCAGAATCTTCCAAAAAAAAAAAAAAAAGAGAGAGAGAGAGAGAGAGAGAGTAAAGGAAATCTGATTTCAAGGCAATGGAAACAAATGCAGGTCAGGATAAAGAGAACCCAGCAGAAAAAAATTAAAAAAGATAAAATACAGCACAGTATTTTCCAACAACTAAATCCACTTCCATTTCTCTTATGGTGAGGGAATAATTCTAAGACAAAGAATTCTCACTATTAACAAATCACTGTGATGAAACCTACTTAGTAATCCATATTCACACGGGGTATTCTGAACTCTCTGTATGTAAGTGCGTGAATTACACAGATCAGCTGGGGTTAAGCCAACCTGATTCACCTCTCAGGAACATTTGAAGAACACTGATTTACAAAGTTCTGATCTCGGTGGGTGACTATATAAATTTTCGTCAAAAAGTCTGACTGCGTGGACATTATTAGAGACCCTATACTGGTCACTATGTAGTTAGAGGCCAAGAATTGTACTAGGGTTTTTAACAATTCTTTTTTTTTTTTTTTAAAGATTTTATTTATTTATTTGACAGACACAGATCACAAGTAGACGGAGAGGCAGAGAGAGGAGGAAGCAGGCTCCCTGCTGAGCAGAGAGCCCGATGCGGGACTCGATCCCAGGACCCTGAGATCATGACCTGAGCCGAAGGCAGCGGCTTAACCCACTGAGCCACCCAGGCGCCCCGGTTTTTAACAATTCTAATGCTGCTAGCAAATAATAAACATCTCATTCAGGACCTTTGATGTATAGGTATCTCTATCTTATCCATTTTACAGGAGATAGGTTTTGTAACTGTTAAATCGAGATTTTAGTGTCCCATTACTTACTAGATGCGTGTGTGTGTGACCTTTGCAAGTTAACTTAAACCAAACTTCTGGCTCCTCAGTGGTGAAACAGGGACCTCGTGGGTTGTCCTGAGGCTGAATGAAGCAACTGGCAGCGTGCACGGGCTTTGGTGATAGCGGACTGGGAGAGCCTTGCACGGAGAGCTGGAGAGCTCTAAAAAATGGAAATAATGCTACTTACTTCCGAGTCACGGAGATTTGTAGCAGCGCTTTGAAGATTAAAGAATATATGTAAAATGCTTAGCACACAAGGGCCCCAATATTGGGTCCTCTTCCTTTCCTCTTGCTTTCTGGAGGATTTTTACTTATTGTATCAGAGAACACAATCCTCGACGCACATCTAATGCGGCAAAGTGGCTCGCCTGAGCTACAATTGATTGGTTGTCTGTTGCTGAAGTACTGTTCATAATGAACCTCTCGGGATTTTTTTCCCCTTTAAAATAGCTTCCGCTAGTTTCTAGCTTAAAATTCGCCATTTGTTTAGCATTCAGACTTCTCACTAAGGACCCAAGAAAGCAGTCAAGTGGAAAAAGTTGGAGTGGGATAAAAGTAGCTACTCTAGGGTGAGTAGAATCTTAAACGCAACCAATTTTTGTACCTGATTGTGGAATTCCCCTGAAGGTCTATGGAGATGTGCATGAAATCAGGAAAAGCCAGCTGTCCGGCGGCTGAGCAAGTTACACACTGTGCCACCAAATGGAGGGGAAGTGAACTTTATGCTTTTCTCCGACTCACAGGATTTAAGACATGCCAGGGCCTAGTTTTTCCAAGGTGGCTGTCTTCGAGAAGATTTGATGGCTTCCCCCATGACCCAAGAAACGACGTTTCAAGTCAAAGAATGAAAGTGATATTTCACCAATTTCACCTCTGGTTCTTCACACATTGTTTACAGAGGGTTTTGGTCTGAAATATCAACTATTTTGATAAAAATAAATGGCAATTATACCTTATTACAACCACCAAATATTAACTCACTCATTTCTAGAAGGTTTCTGGAAATTTCTAAACTGGTATCAAATGTCATTAATAGTACTAGGTTCAAACTATAAATTCAACTACTAGTGGCAAACTTTAGTGGATCTTGCAAAGTTAGAGGAAATGGAAAAATAAATAGACTTGACTAAGAGAGCGAGGTTAAAAGTCAGGTTTAGGAGAAGAGTCTTTCCAGCTCCTCCAGGCTTTTTCAGTCGATACCTAGAAGTTTAATGTCCCTTTGAAAATGGTGCCAGGGAGAAGCAGGCATAACTTGTTCTGTTACTCAACATGTCTGTTTCCAGTTACAGCATCATGATTATGCAAATAATCTTTTCTTGAAACTCTGAAATTATGTGCCTAAATATAATTGCCAAGATAGTTTTCACCAAATTTGAAAAGTAATTGTCTAAAACCCACTTCACTTTAAGTCTTTATTTTTTTTTAAGATTTTATTTATTTATTTGACAGACAGAGATCACAAGTAGGCAGAGAGGCAGGCAGAGAGAGGGGTGGTTGGGGAGGCAGACTCCCTGCTGAGCAGAAAGCCTGATGTGGGGCTCCATCCCAGGACCCTGAGACCATGACCTGAACCAAAGGCAGAGGCTTAACCCACTAAGCCACCCAGGCGCCCCTCACTTTAAGTCTTTGTAACTAGTGTTCCCTTTCTTCTCTCAATTTCAAACAAATGACTGGCACAATATAGCTCTGAAATACCTGAAGGAAGCGATTCCTTACAAACTTCTGGATAGATACCATTGGTATGTAATAACCCTGTGAAGGTCACATAGTAATTCCCAAGGGAAAAGAAGCAAAGAATAAGGGGTGCCTGGGTGGCTCAGTGGGTTAAGCCTCTCTGCCTTCAGCTCAGGTCATGATCTCAGGGTCCTGGGATCGAGCCCCATATCTGGGGGGGGGGGGTCTCTGCTCAGCAGGGGGCCTGCCTCCCCCTCTCTCTCTGCCTGCCTCTCTGCCTACCTGTGATCTCTGTCAAATAAAAAAATAAAATCTTAAAAAAAAAAAAAAGAATAAGAACCCAACTTTAAGCCCTTGTAAAATTGTTTCCCAGAAACTAAAAGACAAAAGCTTTCTATTTTATAAACTACTTAAATGTTTCATGGCGGTTATTAACACTTAATGAAATTAAGACTCTTCCTAATCATTCCATTTTTAGAAGCCTATTAGTATATTCGAGTTGAAAACCAGAGAGTCTCAAAAACGGCACCTTGCTTTAAAAAGTAAACAACAGAAATACTCCAAAGCATTGCAGACTGCCTTTGAAAATGAAACTGCAATTAAAATCACCTTTTCTTTGAACTACTTTCACAGTGAAGTGAGAATCAGCTATCTCTGAAATCTCTTGATGCCAAAAAGAAAGTACCACTTATGTTCCTACTATGTTCTCTCATTTTGCTGATTTTTAAAGTGCCTTCTGAAGTTATTTCTAACATTTTTTTTTTTTAAGATTTTATTTATTTATCTGACACAGAGAGAGAGAGAGACTTCAAGAGAGGAAACATAAGCAGGGGGAGTCGGATGGAAGAAGCAGGCTTCCCACTGAGCAGACAGCCGAATGCTGGGCTCGATCCCAGGACCCTGGGATCATGATCTGAGCCAAAGGCAGATGCTTAATGACTGAGTCATCCAGGTGCCCCTAGCATTTCATTTAATAACACATTGGTTACTTATATTCTGGGATTTTAATCTTTTAAAAGATTAAAAATGGTAAGACTTAGAAAACCTTGCAAGCTATAGTACGAGATGTACAGACCCAGGTCTGACGCAGAGGAGGTTGTAGTCCTGGTTCTAAAGATACTTGCAGAAGATTAACAACTAGGTGTATGATCTTGACCAAGTCATTTGAGTGCCTTGGATTTGTATTCAAATTTGCTAAACAGCTAGATGCATCTGTTGATTATCTAAGAACCCTTCCAGCCTAATATGCAAATGATTTTTTATAACAACACAGGAGAGAGATGAAAACTGGGCTTTGTGGTTGGGGCCTGAATGAGCGGTCCATCTGGGTCATTTATAAATAAGCAGAGGCCCTTGAATAAAGTAATCTAACCCACCCGCATCCTTTAAAAAAGTGGAATAAAAATAGATACCTTATAAGGTTTTTGTGACATTAAATGAGATAATGTATATATAAAGTACTGAGCAGAATAGTTGGAAATTCAATCACTTGATAACTAAATTTAACTGCTATCATCTTGAATTCTTAAAGTAATGGTTTCTCGTTCTGTTTCTTTGTCTGTAAAATGGCGTAGTAAGATCAGATAAAAATTCTGTTCAGCGATGTAAGATTAGTATGTATGTAATAGACGGCCAAAGATCCCAGGTTGGAGAAAGAAGAGATATGCTTCCCCAACTAGTAAACAGTGCCTCTGTCTTCCTGGCTCCACCTTAGTGCCCTACTTTCGTCCTTACAGAGGGTGTGACAGAATCTGTACCAGTGTTTTATTCAAGGGAGGAATTCAGATTCATGATTTCACCAAAATTGCACACAGCTAAAAAAAAAAAAAAAAAAAATCTAGTTCCCTGACTCCCTCATTCTTCCTTTCCCTATTCTGTATTTTCCCAACTGATTTTTTTTTTTTTCCAACCTGAGTGCAGCCCGTTAGGGCCATTAAAATATATTAAATATTAAAATATGTTCATTTCATTTCCTAGTTCCAATTAAAACTTCAAGAATGGCATTCCGTCATAAAACACACTCGTGGTTTTTACGTTCTCCTTTTTTACTTGATTGATTTCACACAAGGAGCATGCATCGCTTCTAAGGCAAGCTAAAACAGAATTTAAAAACGAAACCTGGCTAGTCTGTTGGCAATTTTCATAAGCATGTTCTGTAACTTCTTGACAAAACGGTGATAGAAGGGACCCAACGACTGCCTTCGCTACTGAAGATCTCCTATAAAGACCTCCCTATAAAGCCCACAGATGAGAAGCACATAAAGTTTCCACGCAGAATTCAGAGAAAAACGTGGAGACTCAGACTCTCGAGGTAATATAACGCAGCATTTAAAGGCTTCCTTTTGATTGTCAACGTGGAACAAACGACTTAACGTCTCAGAGCCTCAGTTTGCTTACCTGTAAAGTGGGGATAACGATCACACCTACCCCCTACCTCCCCAGATTGTTCCAAGGATCAAATTCAGTAATGCACACAAAGGGCCTAGGTACCCGATAATGGCTCAGTAAATCGTATTACCGCAACCATTTCGTCTGAAATTTTAGTGTGAGGTGCCCCAACAAAACCGAGGGACCTAGGACACGCCGGGGACTCGGTAATTTCCACCGACTCAGCGCCGCTCCTGAAGCCAGTCCGCCCATCGGCCGCGCACGGTGCTGTCGCCACGGAGTCAGACTTCCCACCCGCAGAGAACGCGGATCCCCCTGCGGTCGCGGTCTCGCAGGCCCAAGGTCGCTTGCAAAACTCTGCCCCGCGGACTAGAGGCCCCGCGAGGGGAGAGGGGGAGGAGCGTCCTGCTCGGCCACTGTTGCCACGGCAACCACCACAAATTTCTCAAACATCTCCCCCCACCACCACCACCGCGGGGAGGGCTCCACCCCTTCCGGCTAAACCGAAAGTCCTCACAGCGGAGGCCAAACTGAATGGCCCCAAGGTAGCCACTTTCGGCCCCTCGGCCACTTCCCCGGCCTCAAGCCCCCGGGAAACAGCCCCTCAGGCACCGCACTGCCCGCCGCCGACCTCCTATTCCAGGCCCTTCCGGGAGTCGCCGCCCTTTGCCCCCGGAAGTGGGCGGGGGAGGAAGCGGCTGGTGATGCTGGAACAACATGGCCGTCCCGGAGCCAGTCGGCCCCTCGGGCTCCCGCTGTCCTCCGCTGGTCGCCGGCGTCCGGCTGCTCCCACTGCTAGGGCTGCTGCAGCTGCTGGCTCAGCCCGGCCTGGGCCGCGTCCACCACCTGGCGCTCAAGGTGAGGCCGGTCAGGGCCGGCCAGGGCCGGGCGAGGGGCGGAGGCCGAGGCCTCTCTCCTAAGCTGGGGGCAGCTTTGGCCCACGGTGGGGGGGGGGGTCGTCTCTGAGCGATCGCCCTCACCCCTTTTTCCCCCCGGCGCGGCCTTTCTCTGAGAGGGCTCTTTTGGGAACTGTGGGAATGGCGGGGGTCCTCGGGCCGTCTGGAAGGGGCAGGAAGATTCGAGCTGAGGCTCAGAGGGAAAGGGGCTGAACTGCGGCGATAATCCCGGAGATTGCGGAAGCCGCGCTTGCAGTCCCTGCTGGCTTCCCTAGGTTCCCAGCTGGTAGCGACCAGCTCTTCCCCCTCCCTTTGCACCTCTAACTTTTATCCCCGCCTTCGCTTGTCTGCGGTGTCCACTTTCCATCCTCTTGTGCCCCTTGAAGGTATGCGAAACCTTAGCTTCAGTTTCCCGGTGCGGCTTAGGGCGCCGTCTGGACTGATGAAAGCTGGAATCTCCAGGAGGAATTTCAAATCTTGCTGGAAATACACGACCGAGAATTTAAAAACCAACATTAAAAATGTGTTTCTAATTAGAGAGCCTGCTCTCTTCTCCCTCACTCATGTCGTTGTCTGTCTAGGGAAGAGATCTATGATGGGCCTGGAATGATCCTTTGGATCTTACTTTGTACCTCACAGCTAACAGCCATCTAAGGCTAAAACGTGCCTCCAGGCGGTTCAGCAGGTTACTATATTTGGGGAGTAGAAAAGTAAGTCGTTATGACCCAAAGCCTTGTACGTGTTTTTCAAAATGTATAATTTTCTAAGAAGTTGTAGGATTATAGGAGGTTCGTCTTACTAAAACACATCCCTTTAACAAACCACGGAGCATTGTATTTTGTGAAGGTAGAATTTAAAGAATATAGAATGCAGATTAAAAGGCCTGGCCAGGGGCGCCTGGGTGGCTCAGTGGGTTAAGGCCTCTGCCTTCGGCTCGGGTCATGATCCTAGGGTCCTGGGATCGGGCCCCGCATCGGGGCTCTCTGCTCGGCAGGGAGCCTGCTTCCCTCTCTCTCTCTCTGCCTGCCTCTCTGCCTACTTGTGATTCCTGTCGAATAAATGAATAAAATCTTAAAAAAAATAAATAAATAAAAGGCCTGGCCAGACCCATGCACCAACTTTTGGTTCTCAGCTTTTGTTGTTTGTAAGTAAAAATTATCCTGATTAAAATGGTTCTTAAGTGCAGGGAGATAGGTGAGTCTTGACTCCTTTTGAGAATCTGTTATAATCTATAGAACCTCTCCCCAGAGAAGTGCAGGTAGAAATGTAGACAAAACATTCTTGGGGAATTTCTGGGACTTTTTAATTCTACTGAAGTTTGCCCGGTGGCAAGGCTTATGACTCCAACTTAAGAACTCCTGATTTTCAGAATGCTTTCATTTTATAGGTTAGGATCCTTAAATTATGTAGAGTAACTGAATTCAGATAGGTTATAAATTAGAGACAAAGCTAGTAATAGGACACACTGGGCCATGTCTCTTGGCTCCCAATCCAGTGCTCTTTCTATATTTCTAGAATTAAAATGTCAGGTGGTCAGCATCACTGGGTAAATACTGACAGTGTTGGTAGAGATAAAAACATATATTGACCTCAGTGGTAGAAACACACTGAATTGGTGTAATTCTGGTAATTGCTTTCTTCCTGTTGTGCTAAATTACTTAATGTTTTTCATCCGTGAACATATTTCATAAGTATAATGGTGGTCGTTCCATAATAACACTGTAGTGGTTTCTTTTCTGTTAAAGTAAATATTCTGACTTCTTCCCCAAGGAAACAGAAGTCACCTGAAAGGAGCCCCTCAAAACAGCAGCATTAGATTGTCTTCACACGGAGCTTGACCCTCACGACTCAGACATTGAACTGACTGAGCCACCCAGGTGCCCCAGATTCCTTCTCTTTCTCTAGGCTCCATTTTATAAAATACCGTATTGAGGGACAGTTTACATTTCATGAAATTCACCCGTTTTAAGTGTACAGTGCAACTGTCACCACAGTCCAGCTGCAGAACGTTTTCATCCCCACCAAAAGATCCCTTGTGCTGATTTGTAGTTCATTCCCATTCCCACCTCCAGCCCCACACAACCTCTAATCTCCTTTCTGACTCTATAGATTTGCCCTTTCTGGATATTTCATATAAATGGAATCACACAATATGGCGTCTTTTGTGTCTGTAGCTTTTACTTAAACTTTTGAGGTTCATCCATGTGTACCAGGTATTAGTAACCCATTCCTTTTTTGTGGCTGAATACTATTCCATTGTGTGGAGAGACGCATTTTTTTCTTCCTGATTCACCGCATGATAATATTTGGGTTTTTTTTTTCCGTTTCTTGGCTATTGTGAATAATGCTGCTACAGACATTCACATGTGTGTCTTTGCGTGGACATGTGTTTTCTAGTTTAATGTGTTCTTCTATCCTTTAACTGTTAATTGGACTAGAGGTTTGATCATGTTCGGGATTGATTCTTTTGGCAAGACCACTTCGTAGTTAGTGCTGTGTTCTTGCACTGGGAGACATAGTGTCTGCTTGTCTGTCTTTCTGTCATGTTGATGTCCAGGGCTTACATTTCTGTGTTCATTAGTCTTTAGTCTTTCCAGGCTGCTGTAACAATACTGTAGATTGGATAGCTTATAAACAACATAAATTTATTTTTTAGACTTCTGGAGGCTGGGGATGTCAAGATGGGATTCTTGCTTTGTTGCGGGCCCTCTTCCTGGCTCATAGTGCTGTCTACTTGCTATACCTGAATGGTGGAAGGGGTGAGGGATCTCTGTGGGGTTTCTTTTACAGGAACACTAATTCCATTCATGAAGGCTCAGCCCTCATGACATGAGTTCCTCCCAAAGACCCCTACCTCCTAATACCATTATCTTTGGGGACTAGGATTTCAACACATGGATTTTGGGGCAACACAAACATTCAGACCGTAGCAGTTAGGCATTTGATCTGTAATTATACTGTCCGGTGTCAAAATATAGGACCATCTTGATTAAGTTCTATGTCTGTCATGTAGTAGATATTGTTATATTTCTCAAATATGGCACAGGAGACAAAGGAAAAGTATCAGGTGCAAACAAGTGTTCCTCCTTAGGCACTCATATGCTCAGGAAGCATAGACTGCTTGTGTTAGTCAGGATCCCACAGGCCATCCAGGCATGGAGGTTTCAGACCAGCAAAGCAAACAGATGTGGTCCTCTATATTCTGAGTATAGTATAGACTTCCTTCTTTTTTTTTTTTTTTAAGATTTTATTTGTCAGAGAGAGGGAAAGAGAGAGCACAAGCATGGGGAGCGGCAGGCAGAGGAGGTACACATGAGCCTGGCGGTCATGCTGAGATGTGTGGATTTTACTTTGTGTGAGGAGAAACATGCCTTGGTTTTTGGCATAACGGAACAGTTCCGAGGAGAAGGGACATTAAAGCGGAGACCTGGAGAGTGAGTAAGAATGTACCAGGGTGAGGGAGTGGGGTAGGGTTAGACTGTGTGTGGAAGAGAAGGCACGAGAGATTGGTGTTCACCTGCTACTCCGACCCTCAGTTTCCTCATCTGTAAAGTAGGAATGATGCTTGTTCTCTCACGGGGTAGTTACAAGGCTTAGGTACATTTATGTGAAACATAGCACTGAGTAGTAGAACCAACCAAATAGTAATTCATTAATTCCGCATTTATTAAATGCCTACTATGTGGGGGGCACTAGAAATGCAAAAATGAGACAGGCACAGAAACAGGTAGTTGTGTTTTGGGTTTTGTTGTTGTTTGTTTTCTCAGTAAACTCTCTGCCCAACATGGAGCTAGAACTCACCGCCCCAAGCTCAAGAGTCACGTGCTCTAACAACTCAGCCAACCAGGCACCCCTCTTTTGCCTGTTTTCTAATTGGATTTTTTTATTGTTGAGTTTTGACAGTTCTTTTTTTTTTTTTTTAGATTTTTTTTAATTTTTATTTATTTGACAGATAGAGATCACAAGTAGACAGAGAGGCAGGCAGAGAGAGAGAGAGAGAGAGAGAGAGAGAGAGGGAAGCAGGCTCCCTGCTGAGCAGAGAGCCCGATGCGGGACTGGATCCCAGGACCCTGAGATCATGACCTGAGCCGAAGGCAGCAGCTTAACCCACTGAGCCACCCAGGCACCCCTTGACAGTTCTTTATATATTCTAGATACTATGTTTTTGTCAGATATGTGCTTTGTGCCCCAGAAACAAGTAGCTTTGTTACAGCGTTGTGTTTTTAATAGTCATGCCCTGAAATGGGTGGGGGTGGGGTGGGGGGAGGCAGAATCTTGAACATTTTCTAAGAGTGTAAGACAGGGAAGATTTTCTGTAAGAGGTAGCATCTGAGTGGAATCTCAAGACTTTACATGCTAGGAAGAGGAATTAGCTGAGAGAAGCATATGGAAAGAGATAGTCCAGTCAGAGTGGGCAGCCTCATGAGCATGGTGGCAAGAAATAGTTCACTGTCATGGTGTTGGTGGTTAAGGAGTGAAGAGGTAGGCCATTATGGTATGTGAAGGCATTTGAATCCTGTCTGTAGCATTCAGGGAGCCACTGAAGTTTTTTTAGGTTGGGAGTGATTGTGTTTACATTTTCTTTTCTTTCCTATATTTTATATTGTTTTGAGAGAGAGTGTGTGTGAGCAGGGGTCAGGGGCAGGGCAGGGGGAGAGGGAGAGAGAGAATCCCAAGCAGGTTCCATGCCCAGTACAGAGCCCAGCGTGGGGCTCAGTCTCACGACCCCAAGATCATGACCTGAGCTGAGATCAAGAGTCAGATACTTAACCAGCTAAGCCACCCAGGCGCCCCTGAGTTGACATTTTAGGTAGGTTTCTGTGGATGGTTGATCAGGAGGGCAGGACTGGAAGCAAGCGATAAGCCAGTGATAGACGGGGTCTAGGTATAAGATTAGGGTCTAAAGTAGGGCATTGTGCAGAGGAGGGAGAAGAGGGTACAGACAACTAGCTTTTTTTTTTT